TAGGACCACGATTGGCTCGTATGTGAGCGTCGAACGCTTCCGCTTGGGGCCAAAAACGCAACCGGAGGCACCACTCCAGAAAGTGAGCACATTTGGCAAAGTGAAGTCCTCTCTCAGAATCAAGAAGTTGAAGCCCAGGCCCTCGGTCGCTCAGATAGCGGAAGCTGCTCCCGTGCAACAGGCGGAACAAGCTTCCCGGGAAGAAGGTTCTGCGGCGGGAGCGTTGCAAACCGCTGACCAGGCCGGGATTGCCCGAGATGCAGTCAACCCAGAAGACGTGCCTGACAATTATCTTGATAACTTGCAGATCGAATGGGTCATGGCTACTGCATCGCATGCACGTGGCAACATCCCACTCTTTGTTCAAAAGCCGTTCATACCAAAGAAGATCGCAATAGATGTGCCTCTTTTCCTGAAGGTTATGGTGAATAAACGGGAACCCCGGTCCCCGCCGACACCGCCGGTCGGTAGCCAAGTCGCCAACGACGAGCAAGCTGCTGGCCAGGAAACAGCCAACCAGGAGGCAGGCCACCAAGCAACGGCCAACCCCGCAGCGTTTATTGAGGCGAGCAGCAATGCTCATTGAAGTAGAGATACCGAGGCCAGCATGAGAGGCGCACTTGCACACTAACACTGACCACATGTAAAGCGAATCGTCACCTTTGGGGTCTACATGGTTCCAGTTGTTTATTGATATCCGCGGTGGCATGCTCTCTTTTTGATATTCATGTTCATCACTCATTGTCGTCGCAAGCTGTTCAGGGGCCAAACAATCAGTACCCCTAAAACCCGCGAATGGCATAGTTTTAATTCTTTTTTTGTTCTATTGAGTTTGACCCAACCTTTACATAAAGGAATACCCAAGTCTTCTATCTTATGTGTCGACCGACATCCACTTTCCGCATCCACCTCCCATCGATTTGTCCGTATATATGTCGAGCATAGTCTGCATTTAAGTGTGCATAATACCCGCCTGTGTAAACTGTGGTTTGAACGAGGTACGGTGAAAATATGAAACAAGAAAGCAGGGGGAAACACCGGCTGTGGAAACTCGACCGTGTAAAAAAGTATATGAAATTTTGTGTTACAACGAACGGGTCTCGGCCAAAAAAAAAAAAAGTTCAGACAAGTTGCAAAAAGGAACACAAGACCACCTCACATCGTCACACTCGTACCACAACCTCGCTTAATACACACGCTTGAACGGCGGCACGGGCTTGCACTCGTTCTCGTCCAGGGTGGTGCTGATGACCTTGCGGTACTTGAGGTCGACGGGCCCGTGGGGCTCGCGCTGGAAGGTCAGGGTGTGCTTCATCCAGTTGGCATCGTCGCGTTCGGGGTAGTCCTCGCGGGCGTGGGCACCACGCGACTCCTTGCGGTTGGCGGCAGCGGTGGCGGTTTGGGTGCTGGAGCAGACAATACGTTAGTCATAATCAAAAGCCAATAAAATAATAGTATGGTGAGGGGGGGCGGGACGGGGTGAATGCGGGACATACGCGCAAGTGAGCAGATTCCGGAGCTCAAGGGTCTCGACCAGGTCCGAGTTCCAGATCATGCTGCGGTCCTTGATGCCGACTTCGCTGAAGGTGTTGTCGACCTTGTTGATGTTGCGGACACCTTCATCCAGGGACTCCTGGGTACGGAACACGCTGACATCCGTCTGCATGGTCTTCTGCATGGCCAGGCGAATCTCGGCCGTCGAGCGCGGGCCGTCCGCGTTACGGATCTTGTCGAGGTACTCGATGGAGTCGGCGGCGGCATCGGCGCGCAGGGGCTTGAGCTTGGCACCGGGGCTCGACGTGTCGCGGATCTGGTGGGAGACGGCACGGCCGAAGACGACGAGATCCAGCAGGGAGTTGGCACCCAGACGGTTGGCACCGTGGACAGACACACAAGCGGCCTCACCGCAGGCGTACAAGCCGGGCACAACCTTGTCGTTGCCGTTGTCGTCGACGGTCAGGACCTCACCAGTGTACTTGGTGGGGATACCACCCATGTTGTAGTGGACGGTGGGCAGGACAGGGATGGGCTGCTTGCGGACGTCCACACCTGAGAAAATGCTCGCCGTCTCCGAGATACCAGGCAGACGCTCGGCAAGGACCTCGGCGGGCAGATGGCTCAGCTGCAGGTAGATGTGGTCCTTGTCAGGGCCAACACCACGGCCCTCGCGGATCTCGAGGGTCATGGAACGGGAGACGACGTCGCGCGAGGCCAGATCCTTGGCAGTGGGAGCATAACGCTCCATAAAGCGCTCGCCCTCGCTGTTCAGCAGGTAACCACCCTCACCACGAGCACCCTCGGTGATCAGGCAGCCAGCACCGTAGATACCGGTAGGGTGGAACTGGACGAACTCGAGATCCTGGTTGGGCAGGCCGGCACGGGCCACCATGGCCATGCCGTCACCCGTGCAGGTGTGGGCAGACGTGCACGAGAAGTAGGCGCGGCCGTAACCACCAGTGGCGAGGACGGTGTGGTTGGCAAGGAAGCGGTGCAGGGTGCCATCCTCCTGGTTGTAGGCGAGGACACCGCGGCACTCACCGTCCTCCATGATCAGGTCGATGACGAAGTACTCGATGAAGTAGTTGGTGTTGTGGCGCAGAGACTGGCCGTACAGAGTGTGCAGCAGGGCATGGCCGGTACGATCGGCAGCGGCGCAGCAACGGTAGGCCTGGCCACCCTTGCCGTACTCGCGGGACTGGCCACCGAAAGCACGCTGGTAGCTGTGGTATTGTTAGCTATACTTGCTCCCTGTCTCGCGGACACTTCGCCTAAAAGTACTAAAAGTACTTACATCTTGCCCTCGTCGGTACGCGAGAAGGGGCAGCCGTAGTTCTCAAGCTCGATAATGGAAGCCGGGGCCTCGCGCGTCATGTAGTGGATAGCGTCCTGGTCACCGAGCCAGTCGGAGCCCTTGACGGTGTCGTACATGTGCCAGCGCCAGTCGTCCTTGTGCATGTTGCCGAGCGCGGCGTTGATGCCACCCTGAGCGGCAACAGTGTGGGAGCGCGTGGGAAACAGCTTCGATATGCAGGCAGTGTTGAAGCCCGCCTCGGCCAGACCGAAAGCGGCACGCAGACCGGAGCCACCGGCACCGACAACAAGGGCATCGTACTCGTGGTCCTAATGCAGAAGACGGCGTATTAGCAAGATGCCGGAAGGCAAAAGCCGCGAGGCAGACAATACACGCGACAGGGCGAGCAATTGAATGGATATAAGGAAGCAGGGAGACGTACAATGACTGGGTACTTGCTGCTCACGAACGAGGAAGCCTCCTTGGCGCGAAGCGGGCCGTTTGCGAAGACGCGAGCTATAGAGAAGAGCATGCGTTAGCTTGTGCGCCTCGTTACCGCCGTCGTCGGCGTTGTGTATCGTGATGCCCCGGGTTTAGGGGCTTTTATAGGGAGCAACTTACCGGCACGCGGCGTAGAAGAGAAGGTTCTGGAAGACTGGAACTGTTTGCAGAAAATAAAACCGTTAGTAATCTGCGGACTCTATCGCTCGAGACGCTTCCTGTCGCTGTGCTCCGGCCTCGTCGATTCGGGACCTCGGCGATCTGTCGCAAGCACAGCGCATCTTTGGAAGAGAGGAGTGGAGGGGTGAATACGCACAGCTGGCCGGGCAATTGCTGCCAGCCGCTTCCAAGCCCCTGTGGACGCCATATCGTCTGTGTGTCGCGCCCAATGCTGTGGATTGGATGTCGCGTATTGCGAACTTGTCGTCGGCGAGAACGAGGGTTCCCTTGTCGTCGAAAAACAAGAGCCGAGCTTCGTCTCGTGCGAGTAAACGAGGTTCGGATTGTGGCTGTCTTGGTGTTACCCAAAACGTCGAATGACAACAGAAGAAAGAGAAAAAAAGAAAAACAAAATCCGACGAGAGGCCGACCTTTGGACGAAAGAGGGGAGATTCGATGTGGTGTCGGGAGTTGAAGCTGGTTTAGAAATCGGGTAGGGGAAAATAGAGACGTGCCAATTGAGGTTCAAGGACATGCCCCGGAAAGTCGCCCATGACGAAAAATGGCAACCGCACAATTCCGAAGCGGCCTTGGGTTTGGGGTTCTGGTGCGGCCAGCACTCTTTCCCCCCCCCAGTGAGGCGCTACTCCCGTGTCCCCCTACTCAGTGGCAGCACCTGCCCTTCAGCGTGCTTGTGCCAACCCACCCCAGTGAGTGGCCCCTTCCTCCCCGCGCTGGCCAATCTCATGGCTGGCATTTCTCATTACTCCACCCAACTCCAAGGCGCTGTAGCCAACCACTGCAGTGCTTTGTCGTTCAAATGGTCTCGTCCAGTCGACCCTTCCACCAAAATCCGCACCACCCCACAGTCCCGCTCTCTCTCCGACAACCTCGCTACCTTTTTTTGCCCATTCTTTCGCAAGCAGAGCATGTCCTTAGCCGAGCACCTGCCGAGAGCATGGTCCGTGCGTCAGCACCATGTGCTTGCCCAAGACGTTTCCTTCCATCTGAAGTTCTGATGACTTGTGTAGTAAGATGCATCGTGCGTCGTTCGTCCCTTCCTCTTGTAGAACGTGAATCTATTTAATTGAAGGCGATTGGTGCAACATGAAACTTTTCCAAGCGCGCCTTCTGTCTCGCATGCCCTCCTGCCGATATGGGCGACTTCACAACAGCTAGGTCGTGGACGAGGTATTTCGTACCTTGGCGCAAAAGCTGTGATCCTCGACAAAAAGCATGTGACAGGCGAGACGGGCAACGACATCTGCCGTCCAACATTCGCGCCGAGCGTTGGACAACAGCAGCTGACAGGAACTGGAATCGCTAGTAGCCCAATTCGACAGTGTGGCAGAAAGCGAAAACGATTTAATAATTGAACCATTTATCTACAACATGCGGGTGTCTTAAAATGTCGAAGAAAAATATCCCAACAATTGCTGTTCCAAACGCCAACCATGAGATATACCCAGCACTAACAATGCACCAGAGTATTGTAATGCAAATATATATGTATACCACAACAAAAGTATCCCCTCGGTTCCGCCTCCGTCTACTCTGCCAACACGTTGCGAAGCATGGCCAAAAAGTTATCGTTGAGCTTGTAGATCTCACTCACGACCGGCTTCGTCGGTTCGCCCGCGCTCCGCCGGAGGCGGTCCTGCCGTTTCGTTCTGCGGCGCCGTTCGGCCTCAATCGGATCGAGATCGTCCTCATCTTCTAGCGTCGCCTCGTCCTCGGAATCATCAAACTCGTCGTAGGACATCTCCTGGAGGTCAGCCGCGTTCAGACCAAAGTCGCCGGCGCTGAAACCGACGGGACCAGACAGGCCATCCTCGCCCAGACCGTCGCTGCCGCCGCCCTCGGCGGCCATTTTCTGCCGCGTCTTGTCCTGATGCCACTTCTTGCGCGCTTCCTGCCACGCAATGAGACTGTTTACCTCCGCAATGGCCTTGTCTTTGTCAATTTGCCCCATGCTGACAGAGCCTTCAAAGAGCGCGTTGACGTCCAGGGTGCCGTTCTTGGGGCCCTTGCGCAAGAACTCCAGGATGCCCTCGATCCAGCCCATCAGCTGCGTAAACAAGCCGTTGTCGTGTGTGTGAACCTCGTGAACAAACTTGTAAAAGTTGTGTTCGTGCCGCTGGCACAAGTCGATAAACGCCTGCACAGTCTGGTTAGGATCGGCAGAGGCATCCTGCTCTCTGCACTTCTCAACAACCTGCATCATATCGTCCATAAAGACGGAGAAATCGGTGACACTGCTGTATACATTGGCCGACTTGTAGACGCGAACGAGGGGTTCGTAAAAGATGGTGAACAGGTCGCGGAACAGCGAGAGGGTGACGGGCTCTTCAATGAGATTCAACATCATTGCCTTGTCACGCTGGCGCGTGTAGAGCTTCATGAGCTGCTTGAGGTAGGAGAAGAGTTCGGCACCTTGCTTCAGTTCTTCATCAACATTCTCGACAGCCGAATTGAACGCCACGTACGCATTGTAGAGGCGTCCAATTTGCTCGGGCATGAGTGGTGGTTCGATCAGCTCGGAGCGCAGAATACCAACCAAAATATCGACGTCGTCGTTGGTCGCTTCGTCCCGGATGATATCCTTGATTGCTTGGTCGGCATCCGAGTAGGCCTTAAGCTTGCTGACAAACACGGGGTCGTCGATCTTGACAGCCAAAGAGTCGATAGATTTTTGGAAGTTGCGGATGCCATCGTTCAATGTCAGGGAGAAGATGCGCTGCATAAGAGACCGCGTGCCGAAGGGCTGTGCCAGAAAAATGTCGAGGACACCAGACATGACAGCAGCAGGATTCGCTACCCGGATGACGTTCTTGATAATTGTGTACGGAATCAGAGAATGGATGCGTTTCGCCTGAGAAAAGAGCTCGGGTGAGTTATCTTCGGCGAGGAAAAGATGGTAAATCGTAGCGGCAACTTCGATCCGGAGCCACTCGGCAAACTTTTGGTACTGGATACTCAGGTCTCCGATGGTCTTCTTCTCCTTGATCTCTTTGAACAGCATGGTCAAGCCATTGCGCTCAACAATGTCTTGACGGAACCTGCAAAATGAAATATTAGCACGGGAGCTGTACATGGGCGACCAAAACTCAGATGTGCATATGCATACTGTTCCATGTACACGTCGAGATCAGCAGCTCGCTTGCGAGCAATCTCGTAGAATTTTTTCTGCTCCTCCACGCGCTTCTTGTCGACCTCGACTCTGCGCACAATGTCGTCGACGTCTTCGTCTCGTGGGGTGATCGGATCCCGGGTGAGGAAATCCTGAATGGCCTTTGTCCGGGCAATCTGAGGGTTATGAAGTAGTGTACGAAGGAAAGCACGCAGCGAGATGCGCTGGTTCTCCCGCCATAAAACCACGCTCTGCAATATCGCGTTAGTTATGAATGTTTGAGGACCGTTGGCACTATCAGGGCGAAGGGCGAAATGAACTTACCTCTGGTGCCTTCGATTCCTGGCCAGTAGCAACTGTAGGGCTAGGCGGCGTAGTGTTGTCGAGAGACTGGCGTGGTGATACTCTCCCAGATCCATTTCTACGGTGCTCTGTACATTGGTTAGCACTGACCCCTTGGAGGCGACCGAGGAAGCGCAACATACCTCGAACTGTGAGATTCTTTAGTGACTCTCCAACACCACCAGGGCCGAGCCCTGTTGGGCTGGTCATTGTCGAGGCCGAGGAGATGGAGTCAACATCCGAGTCGTTGGAGCCTCTGAGACCACCAATAATGTTAGAAGCCGTTGAGCTTGTCTTGTTCTTCCGCGGAAGGGGTGGCAGGACCCGCCCGGGCAGTTCTGCACGGAGAGCCTTGTAAAGGCGTCCAAAATCGCCATAGCGACGGCCAACAAAGTGCTCAAGCTCGCCCTTTCTTTGGACCCGAAGAATGAATTCCTGTAGCGCTGTCAGCATCAAAAGTTAGGAATAGCCGTGGGGCGAGCCAGGAACATACGGCATGCTTGTGATAGCGAATGTTGCGCTTGACCGATATTACGCGAACACCTGCCACGTTGACATCCCAGCCGTTGACAAAGTTGCCCTGGGGAATGGATCCCAAGACACCAGTATCGATCGCGTCACGGTCCACAATTTCGAGTTCGGAGAATCGAATCCGCTCTTCAAAGCCAGACGAGGTGCGGACGCCGGAGACCATCATGAGCTCCACAAGCTTCTGTGCCTTCGTAGCTAGCTTTCGGCGCTTGGTTTCTTCGAGCCGGTCTTCGGACGAGGAGATGTTTTTCGTAGCAAAAGACTCGAGGAACTTGACGTCTCATTGTTAGTACAAAGTCCCCTTGGAGCGATATCAGCTACGTCTGGTTATTGCTGTACACACCACTTGCAGCTTGTCCTGCCAGAATTCCTTCTCCTTCGCCTTGTCGAGAAATGGGAACTCGCGGACATGGTGAACGAAGATGTAGCGAAGGATGGGGAGGCTAGAGTCGAGCGGGGAAACCTCGCCCACGTCGGACCGGAAGGGGGCGCCGAATCGTCGGAGAGCAGTCGGCGAGTTGAGTTCGAAGATTTCCCATTTTGCCTGTTCGCCCAGGAGCTCTCGTTTCAAGTCTGAACAAGTTAGTTTGCTGCGCCAAACGAACAAAAGAAGGAGTAAATACACGCAAAGTGCCCAGGATAAAAAGGGTCAATCAATACGGACAGTGTTCCTGCTTTCCCGTCAGAGTCTGTCCTGGTGGTGGCAGCGAAGTCAAGGAGGAAGCGGAAGTTGAAGCGGCCGCAACGCCAGAAGATTTGGTGACGTCGACGGCGCTTGGGTCGGAGGCGGGGGCTACTGCAACGCCGCCACCAGCGCCGCTGACGGCGGTTGGTCTGTCGGCCATGATGCTTCTTTTTTCCTTTTTTTGGCGTGTATAATTGTTGTCTGAACACTTTCCGCGTCCGAAACCTTCAATCGGTCGAAGAGAAAGAATCTGTCTGTCGCGGAAGGCTCGGGAGAGGTGAGCAGCAAGAAGACTGAGGGGTTGGGAGTAAGAGCTGCTGTAATCCCGTAGCTGTTCAAATTACTCCGCTGTGCCCCGTACAGGGTGTCTTTTCGAAATAGGAAGCGAAAGAAACGCAGTTGGGTCAAGTGCGCAAAAATCGTGTGTGGGTGGATGCCGAGTGTCCAACCAGCAGTCGACCAGAGGAAACGCAGACAGAGAAAGTGATTCAGGAGAGAGAAAACAGAAAATGATCATAGATACCCCCCAATGGCCTGAGAGGAGAGTGCCAGGAGGTTGATGCTTGGCTGGACCAGCCAAGGTCGACGTGGGCGCTAAATTTGAGTGGACAGCGGTTGGCAAGGGCCTGGTGGTTGGTGAGAGATCGTTTTGCCGAGCAGGAAGATGGATGAAGTGAAAAAGGTAAAGCCCATAAACAAAAAGAAAAGAGATTCCAAGATAATAAACCAAAAGATTTTTCCTATCCATTCAACAAGGGAAAGAACAAAGCGCAGCAACGAGTAGAAACGCGCTTCAGGTAGGAGCGGTCGACCGAGGAGGTGTTATGGGCGGCAAGCACGATGGCGAAGAAGCGATGACGCTCATGCCGTGCCGGGATGCAGCTTAGTCTATTTTCTTTTGTTAAAGAAGGAAACAGCGCTAAAAATACAAAAATGCGACTGCCTGGTTTGGGCGCTCCGCTGGTGTCTAAAAGCAATTGCGTTGTCGTACTCCGTAGATCTTGGCGTTTGCTTAGTATGGGTCGCAGCTGCTATTTTCAATGGGTTCAGGCGGACTTGGAATATGCCTCTTTCTACGCGTCTTACGTGGGATTTCTATCGGTGAAAGCTGTTTCTAAATCTTAGCTACCATGTTCATCGACATCTCAATCTCCTGCCACCCTGTGTACCATGTTTTCTGGCCATTTGACTGGCACACAAGTCCTGATCAGACATCGCCGGGCTCAACAGGGATCAGTGACGCAGATGATCCAGCGGCATAAAACTGATCGAAAGGTTCAGAAGAGGATCACTGCCAACGGCGCACAAGTCATACGGCGAATAAATGTAAGAAAAGAATAACAAGCAGTATAAAAATATAAATAACAAGAGATTGTAGATTTGGAGGGAGCTACCAAGCAAAAAGTACGGAGTCAGTGCCTGGGTGACGCGGTAATGTGGTTGCGCATATTGTCACTTTCCAGGACAGGACCTGAAAATTGTGGGGCATGACGTTTGTTCCCTATTTTTTGCCTCTCGCCCGGCACGGAGTACTATGCCCCAACACCCAACCCCTGACCAGCCTCGTTTGACTCGTTACGCTTTTTCGACGTACATTGTTCATGTGGCGTTTGCGGGATGCCCATTTCGGGCAGCAGGCGAAAACACATAAAAGCGAATCCGACAAACATAAAGAGTAAGATGATACGGAGGCCTTGCTTACGCTCCTCAAAATGTGCCCCAGATTAAGTGCTAAGTAGAGAGTGGCTGAGTAACTCCTTGTGGATGTTTCCTGTGGCTTTGTTTTTGTGGTCTCTCTGGGATGCTTTCCCAAACTCTGCTCGTATTGCCCTTATCCTCGTCTCGTCTTTTTGTTTGGGCTCGTCTTGTCTGTCTTGGCCATGGTCCACACCTGCAACCTTCATTACGCGGCCGGCGTATTTTGTGACTGTATATTTGTGGCTGGGCTTTTGGTCTTTCGGCGGCTGTGGCAACATCCTCGTACACAAATTGCTTTGCGGACCAAGGTTGTTGAAAAGACAACGCGAGCACAAGGCTTCAGAACGCTTCATGTTGGTACTGTACCTCAAGCATGGCCGAGTCTATTCCGAGATAGTCCCTAGTCGCTTGTTGAGGACAATCTACTGTGGAGCTCGTCAAGATACTGAGCAAGCCATTTGAAAACCATCTCCCACGTCCGTGTACTCCGTACTACACGCTGCCTAAGTTGGACGAGACGCATTGCAATCGGGCGAAAGCATTGTCACCGAAACTCCGGGCTTACCTTGCCTCCCAAACAATGCACTCCGTAGGTATCTGTTCATTCGCGGATTCTATGCGAATATTATATTACAAAAGTAAGATAGACGTACATGTGTATGTTGGTATATTTCGTAAAAATGAGAAAGGAAAGGCAAGACCGCTATGCTTTGAGACGTGCTAGGATGCAGTAGAATCGACGAGAGGAAACAAAACAAATACATAAGTAGTGTGGCTTGCACAGCCTCTGAGCAGGCAAAGTGAACAACAACAGGAAAATCATAGCTCTTCAAACAGTCGCTGGAGTGGATCGTCATTCGCATCACTGGCGACAGGACCGTCTCTGTCACCATTGTTGCGGCCGCCTGTGGTGCCGTTGGGAAACGTCAAGTGAAACTTGCTAGTCGACGCCGTCATGGACGCTAGATCGGGGAAGCCCGGTGGGAAGTTGGGCTTGCCATGTGCATCTGATGCCTCCGATTGAGCCCCCACGTCGACACCCTCCTGGGCCGCCGGCTCTCCGGAATGCCCCAGCATAATCGCCAGCAGCACGACCAACACCAGCATCACGCTCAACACAATCACCCACAGCGCCTTAAGCCGCGACCGCGTCCGCTCCTGCCACGCCCGGTCCGCTCGCTCCCACCGCTGTACACGATCACGGACCGTCTCCACGCGCTCGGCCAGATCCTGGATCGCCTGCCGGCCACGGTGCACGCGCTCCGACAACTGCTCGAGCCGGTGCTGCTGGTCGGCCGGCGTCAGCACGGGCGCGCCATCTTTGCCTACGCTGCCTGTTCTGTCGCCCTCGAGCTGCTGCACCTGCTGGTCAATCTCGTGCGTGATGGACTCGGTCTCGACCGTGAAGCGGTGGTTGGTGGCGCGCGCGGCTGCCGCCAGCGACCGCAGGGCCAGGACCGTGTCCTGCAGCTCACTGAGGCGAGACAGCACGGATCCATAGGCGGCGTCGAGGCGTTGACTCGTGGTCGTGGACATACCGTCGAGGTCGGTAACGGCAGAATGCAGCACACGCGCGGCGCTGCGGCTCTGCTCACGCTGCATGCGCTCCAGAGCGGCGGCCGCAGCATGAACGGCCGCTGGGTCGATGGGCAGGCCCGGTGCGGACCGGCTGGCACCTGAAACTGCAGGCCCTTGTTTTTCCTGTTGCAGCAGCATGTCATCTTGAGACCGGTCCGCTGCCTCTGTGTCGGCACCGGGCTGGGCGTGGTTTAATGTGCCAGGCATGCCAGGTGTCTGGGTCGTTGGCGATGCAGCTGCCACGGCCGTGGCTGCAGCAGCAAGCGCCGCGATCGTTGTAGAGTGACTACTCATGTAGCCAGCGGTGCTGCTAGTGCTGAGGTTGTGGAGGTGTCGGTGGTGATGATGACGCTGGTGACGGGCGCTGTCGTGCGCCTCTGCTTGTTGTGACTGCATGTTGCGGCTCTCGTCGTAGGGATGGTTGTTGTATTGGTCTTTGCCGGTCTGCACACTAGGCCGACGGCTGGAAGTAGGGCTGGCCGTCGTGGACGAGGCACCGGTCCGACTTGACGTATTGGAGCTGGATGCGTTGGGGTCGTGCGGTGCCAGAGAGAAGTTTCCCGTTAAAACAGCAGCCGATGCAAGGGTGCTACCAAGGCCGCTTGTTGTGCGTGACTTGCTAAGGGGCGCGAGGCGGGGACTGTGGGAAGGCGTGGCCGGTGTGTTGTTCGGGGACGGGCTAACGCCGTTCGCCGGAGATCCGGTAGAGGCAACACCCGTCCGTGTAGAAGACGGACCACGACCGTCTTGGTAGGAGTCGTCGTCGCGAGCGTTGGTGTTTCGTCGACTCTGCGTTTGACTTTGGATCTGGCCCTGGCTCGAACTCGGGTTGTGTCTGGACGCCGGACCGTGGTTCTGGATTTGGCTTTGGCTTTGGTTTTGGCTTTGGCTTTGGATTTGACTTTGGCTTTGTCGGCGTAGGCGCAGAGGCGACGACAACTCTGATAATGATCGCGTAAAGTGATGTCGCGGTCGCTGGGGTGAAGGTGTCGCTGTTGCTGGTGTCGTCACTGGTGTTGCTGTTCCCGAGATGTTTGCTCTTTGCCCTGTCAGCTGATCACCACCGGCTCGGCCTGCATTGTTGCTGATGGTATTGGCAACGGCCGAGGCGCTGCGCTCTTGGTTATTCGACATAGTTGCAGGGCCCAAGCAAAGGGGGGTGGATAAAACGGGAAATGGGCAAATGGTGTGTCGCAAAGTACCGTGCAGCGGCTGACCAAAAACCGAAATATGCAGCGGCCCAGACCTATGCGTGGGCGAGCAAGCTGCAGGCTGTTCCCGGTGCCCAGTTTCGCTACTTTGCCAGGGAAGATGGTGTGCTGCAACATTAGGCGTTGCATGTGTACAAAGCAAGTTGGCGCGGTGTCGACGACAGGAGGCTGCGTCACATGGAAATCAAAAATGGCTGAGTCATTTCTTATGTAATGCACTTGATTTGACAACCTCAACCATGACCAGATACAAAAGCGTTTGTTAATAATTATTGCACGTGAGGTATTATTTAAGAAACTTCACATGTTCGTTTATATACGCTCGTTTATGTGAGCTGGGATGTAGTGTGCAGCGAAGATGGAAACGCAGTCAGCGGTTTGCAGAGTCCTGAGAATGTGTTGAAGCTGAACTATTTTATTAGATTCAAATGAATGTTTCCTTTCTACAGCAATAAAATAAAAAATCAAGAAGAAAACACCGAAAAAAGTAGAATTCGAAAACAACTGAGAACTCGAAATAAAATCCAAAATATGTTTTTGACCGCGCCCTGAAAATTATCAACCAGAAAATTCTAATGTCTAAACACTGGGCAGCATGACCTTTCTGCCCAAAACCTTTCGTCCTTAACCATACGATGATTGTACAGTAACTCAGCGCTTCGCTGAATTGTATCGAACCGTGCAGTTAAAAGGAGTTAAAAGTATATTTACACGTTCTTTCTCTCGACGTTCGATAACTTGCCCACGTGTTAAGGTGAGTCTCCGCCGTGCAAGTGCGTTTAAGGATACATGATGAGATGACAGCAAAATGTGAACCCTCGCGCTCTATTATTAGGGCGACTTTTGAGTTGTCTTGTGAGCATTTCTCACACCGGCTACTATCCGTTGCCTGAAGCCTTCAAGGTCGGCAAGGCCAACCGAGATTGACTATAGAGCGATGATCGGCGTGACGTAGACGATGTTGATGGAAATAAAATATGCGTCACAGTCAATGTCGAAGGCGAGAGCTTTACAAGGATGGCGGTGACATGGCCAACACGAAATCTGCCACCTGGGGCTTTCCAATGTCCACGAAGCAGCCAGTCATTCTTTACATATTTGGTCTGGGCCAACGCTGTATTGAACTGCAACTGGCAGCCCCCATATTGCTACATATAGTTGAGTATTGAACTTGTATATGCAATAAGAAACCACATCAAAACAGCAATTTGTCTATGCATGGCTAGCAAGACAGTAAAATGTTGGTGTGCTTAATAGGACATCTCGACAGGACGCTCAGGTAAATGTTTGGCCAAGTACCAACCGCTAGTTGCGAATGCAAGGAAGGTTGTATCTAGTGATTGGCAACGGAGCATCCGATAAGGATTTCCAACGAATCGATATTCTTGGCTCAAATCTGAGTGACGAGTTGTATCTGCTAGTCGTCCAGCGGCCGTGTTGAGACTACTCCATAGATGCTTGCTCGACATGCCCACACCCACGGTACCGGACCGATGATATAAAAACTTTTCAAGGAACAAAAACGACATGTAGGTGAAAGAATACTTTTGTATACTGCAAGAAAGTGATGTGCCCAAGAAAAAATATGCGTCCGCCCAAAACGCCCAACGCTTCCTGCAGACCAGAGTGAATCCCGGGAAGAGCAACCAATGAAGGTCTAAACCTTACGAGAGAGAAAATAAATGCACAAGAATGTTTCAGCCCAAGAAAGAACAAATTATAGCAAACAAACAGACACATGTTGGCCGCCCAGCTCACGTGTGCAACAGCTTGTTCCGCTTCTCCTTGCGCTTTAACCGCTCGACACGCTTCCTGTGCATCTTCACGGCCAGCTTCTCGTACCGCTCCTTCTCCTCCTTGGCGGCCTTCCTGTCGCGGATGGCCTTGATCCGTGCCTGGCGGGCAGCCTCCTTGTCGTCCTTGAGCTCCTTCTCCTTGGCCTTCATGGTGGCGCGCGCGATGCGTTCCTTGTTGCGCTTTTCGTACGAGGTGAGGCCGGAGCCCGGGCGGAAGGCCTTTTTGGGCTCATGCCATTGCTTGCCTAGGACTGTTAGAAACAAGCTCTCAGACGAGACGGTTCGGAGGAGAGCGACCTACCATTCTTGCGCATGCCGAGGTGCTTCGTAGGTGCAGTCGCGGCGACCGGTTGGGCAACCGGGACGGCTGCTGGAGTTCCGCTAGACATGGCTGTGCGCGCGTGTGGTCATGAGTAAGATACTGTATTTGTAAGATGGTGAGCTCGGCAGTATTACGGATCGTGAGTGTCCGGTCCGGCCGTGGTGTCAGGATGGCCTGGTCGAGTTTCGGTGGTTGGTGAATGGTAGTCACTTTTGGTGGAGGACTGTTTTCTGCAATTCGACTTTTTTTTGTGGGGGGGGGGGGGGGGTGTCGCCTTATCGCCTGTCTTCGTCGTCTATTGCCTGCTGTTTTTTCAACGAGGGCGGTTTCTGCCAGCACTCACCGCCCTAACATTTTCTTATCGACCTGCCGCCGCTCACCGCCAAAATCACGAAATAGCGCACGTGCGCTATCGTTCCAGCGCCGCGTGCAGCCAATTTCAGGGCGATCCAGGCCCCATTCTCGAATGGTGTCCTAAAAAGGTGTTGCCTGCTCATATTTGCTGGGGACGGGCAATTAAGCCAGCAAGAGATTAGGCCTAATATCCGGTGCGGGGACAAGCCAGGGGATTTAGTGACAGGGGTCACTATGACGCTAGCGGGAAGAAGGGACGAAATGCTCAAAGGGAAGGGTCACACTGCTACGCTCCTAAGATGACGCCTCAACACAACGACGTAAGTTCTACGTATGAACCTCAACGTCTTTGGACTCTTTTGCGAGTGTGTGAACAGTGCGTGCACAGGAACAGCCTCTCCCATGTCTTGCATTTCCTTGCGACGATCTTGATCGAAAAAGGCTCAAGGCGAAACACACACTGACCACATGTAACTCTATCGTTGATTCTATTTCGAGCGCACTCATTCCTCGCGGTCCTTTTATTTTTTTTATTGAAAAAAAATCATAAACAAGACCGTGTTGTTTTACCGTGTGGTGTACGACCCCATTTCGCCTGTTGTGGTAAAAGGAGCCTGAAGACCGCAATGGAGAAAGGCCGACAGTGCCGGCTGGCAGAAATGAATGACATGCCGTCATTGGCGATGCATTTCAGAGATTTGATTATTTCGTCACGATACATGTACATATTCGCACACATCGTGGTCCTTTGACGTTTTGTTGCGTGTCTCGCGCCCATAGTCTCCTTGTTGCTGCCGCGTGTTTTCTATTGATTTCTTTGTCGCTGGTGTTTCCTGTCCATTCCTTGCTGAACAACCCGTGTCCCGTGGCCATGGTGGACGCGTTCACACGTGTTCTAAGGAACCCCAAAAGGAATCCCATGGATATTATTTATTTTCCGGTCTTCATCGTGGTTGGCGTTTTTGGCGTGGAGTCATACGAATTACGGAGCAGCTCAGACCTTTTGGCAATGACAATATTTTTTGTTTTGTTAAACTTGTGCGTCTTATGTCCCATTTCGTTTCAGACCTGTGTTGCCGCCACTGGCAAAGTTGCCAGTTTGCTTCTGCCCTCTGATCATTTTACGACGGACACAACCTTGCGTTCAGCCAGCCTCTGACGGCGACATTTGCCCCAGTCTTTCATTTTAAAATAGACGCTTTCGCTCCACTCATTATTACCGTGTAGTATTCTGTAGGTTCCTGTATTCATGTTCGCCAGTCGTCTCTTCGCAGATAGAATCGCCTAGTTTGTTTGCTTGATGAACCCGCCAACGTAATTACTCTCAATCGCGCGTCTAGGAAAAGGCTAAGCGGATGCCAAGAGCAACGGCCGGAGAAGAATACGAATCGCAAAACGAGTGACACCGAACAGGGTCAAGGGGAGACTGTCGTAAACAGGGACGGGACCGAAGAAACGGATCGTCAGGGACTGCCAAGCGGGCAATCAGGGACTCTCCCTGACCGGCCGTCGAAAGAGAGTGGATTACGACGTATGAAGGAATAGAAAGATTGTGCAATAATACAGTAATTACTTACGAATTTTACACTCCCGGCGTAGCCTCTCGGCTTTGAACATAAGCAACGTTGCGCACAAACTTTACCCCTTGTGCCTGATCAACGGAGATTGGAACGTAGATCTACGAGTGACCATGTTCTGGCACTGCTTAATTTGCGATTTCATTCTCTGGGACGCCATAATGCTTCTTTTATCTCTTCGAGAGCATTCTAACGCGCTGGAAGAGCGCGAATCTCACCAAAAATGCACTGGCAGTGCCAAGAGAGCATGTTCCTTAGCTCCCACGCTTCTTGGACTGGGCCTTCATGTAGTCTCCAGCAAAGGAATGCTAATGTTTTGGACGCCACGCTTATTAGCAATTCTGGCGGTTTTCGTGCAGAAGACACGAAAAAGTTGAAAATGGCCCGCCAATTTCCCGAGGCCGGGAAGACAATCAAAAGAAAAGTGCCAAAAGAAGACGGTATGTTACGATGAAAGAAAAGGAGAGGACCCAGAGGCGACGGAGACTTGGGACGGTGTCAGAAATAGAGAATGAATAAATAGGCAATATCCGCGGGTCAGGAACAGGGCGGCTTAATGCTGGGCAATAATCCAATATCGCAGATTTCCTTTTTAGTGTGCCTTAATTTCCAGCTCAATTTTCTTAATTCGTTTACAGCAATATGAGCCTGGTTTCCTGCTCTTATTGCCATTTACGGCCATTGGTACTTTTGCTTTTTCATCGTCGTTAATGTACCTCACGTCCATTTTTTCTATATATCCATCAACTCTACGGATGTACTTTTGTTTGCTTCATTTGTATGAGTTTACATGCAGTTTTCAGAGTTGCTGGGAGATTGGCAATGTTGACGGGGGGCACATTTCGCTTCTCGCTTTACTCTTATTTAGAAACGA